ACAGGTGGGAGACATGCAAATTACATATGGCTCACCGGCCTTGCTTATGGCCCAGCAAGTCCCCCAGAATGCCCCCAAGGACTCTGAAATCCCCCCCCCCAAAGTGTTTGAAAAACAGTTTGAGTGACAGTCTCCTGAAAATGGTCACCCTCAAATGTGGTACTTTGGCCAGTACCCTTCATGAACCCCCAGTCCCATCTAATGTCCTCAAATAAGCCCAAAGCAGAAATCTAAAATGATGCTGGGTCAGTTTAGTGCTGGGGATACCAGAGTGAAAACTGGTCCCTACCCAGATGGACAGCATGGCATACATTCACGTATCTTTCAAGATTGTCATGTGCTCAGATTCAGGATGTTAAAAAAAAAGGGGGGGGCCGAAGACAACCACAAAGCAATGCAGCAGGAAGCAATGATGAAGGAGTCTGTCAGAGACTGAAAAACCACAGCTGAGGAAAATTCCATTGCTTTTCAGAATTTAACTTTTAAGGAGCCACTGAGTTACCAGAGAAAGAAAACTATCACTTTCTTGCCCTGCCTCTGTGGTTATTTAAAAGAAAATACATCTGCACCATGGACTGTTAAGTAGACATGGAATGTTAAGTAGAAGATGATGATTATGATGATGATGATGATATTTTACCAAAAAAAAAAAAAACAGAAGAAGAAAGGAAACAGATATGCTGACGGTAAGTCAGATCTGGAGTTTAAAAGACTGTCATGTCTATGGTGGAAAAGTGAATACTGCCTATATAAAAATGGTTTACTATTCTGAGGCTAAAAAAGGAAAGCAGTGCAAAGTTATATGCTATCATCGTAGGATCACATGCAGTCCACTGCACCACTCATTAATCAAATCTAGCAGGTACCGAGCTGACTGCAATTTCTAGTTCTTTGCCACATCTGATAGCAAGAACAAATGCATCAATGCACCATTGTGCTTTATTGTGACCATGCTCCATGAAAACCCTCTGAAGGGCACACTCTGCCCACTTCATCACATAGTCACCCACAATAAACTTAAAGTGTATTGTGTAACCTATCCTGGTGTCTTGTTCCACTATGATCAGGTAGAAACCAACAGGCACCAATTGCCAAAGACTAGGAAAAAATAAGGATACACAGCTAGTTGGCAGTCAGCGGGCATAAATGTTTAAAGACATTTCTTTTCATCCTGTGTATAGAGTTCAGGATATATTTTGAAGCAGGAAAGCAAGATCTCCCATTTGTAAACAGGAAAAAAGAAAAGAAATGCATAGGGGACAATCCAAAAGCAGCTCATGACAGGATGTCACCATCAGGCTACATTTCAAATGTTTAATGCAACCTATCTTAAGGAGTACGATTTCTACACCTTTCTATATATTACTAGCTCAATGAGAGAACAGCACTGTAATAATAAGTCTTGCATATTTCACCACGGGACATTTTAAAATGTCATTTTAAAATACTACAGTCATTAAAATGCCATGCTATGATAGTGATGGGGAAAGACAGTTAATACCTCTAATTTTTTGCTTATGTAATAGAAAGCTGACATTCACCTCCTCTTCCCCCCCTCCCCATCATGACCCCAAACAAGCCTCCAAGCCAGTGTCACAGAAGGCAAATTATATAATATGAATTCGGAAGAACACTGTTACAGCATATCCACAAAAAGGCAGGCAACGATGCTCCCTTTGCCTTGACCTTTAGCATTCCTAGGAGTCTGTTGGGAATACCAAATGAGAATAAGAAGCCTGTGTGCGTACACATTTCAGGGGATGCTCATTCCTCTTCAAAAAAAGAACAGGTTTGGGGAGAAGGTAACAATTCATCCCACACACAAACACATAAATTAAGGCTGCAAAGAGTCATTGGACCTTGGGAAAGCAGCAATCATGCAGCAACCTTGTGCTCCATGAAGGAAAGAAATATAGAAACGTAGTAGTTTGAGTGTTGGACTACGACTCTGGGGACCAGGGTTTGATTCCCAGCTCAGCCATGAATCCCACTGGGTGACCTTGGAAAAGTCACATTCCCCCAGCCTCAGAGGATGGCAATGGCAAACCCCCTCTGAAGAAACTTGCCAAGAAAACCCCATGATAGGATTTTCATAAGTTGGAAACAACAGCATTGGCATTAGAGGTGTCATTGCTAAGCAAATATGCTGTGGCTGGAGAGGGACAACAAAGAGGGGCAACTACTTACTCACCTTTCCCCAGAATAAAATTTTAAGTTCTCCACCATCACCTCTTCTGAGCATTTCTAACACATACACATGAACACCATTTGCCACACACAAACCAGACCACACTACTTCTAACCACAGTGCAACCCTCCCCACCACCGCCACTCAAACCAAAGGGCAAGCAAAATGAGCTTTGACATTCATTGTTGTCCCTGCTGTGTGCCCTCAAGTCCTTTCTGACTTATGGCAACCCTAAGGCGACTCTATCATGGGGTGAAGTGAAGGGCTTTCATGGCCGGCATCCATAGTTTTTTGTGTTTTTTTTCGGGCTATGTGGCCATATTCTGGAACAGTTTATTCCTGATGTTTCACCAGCAGCTGTGGCTGGCATCTCTGACGATACTAGCCACAGCTGCTGGCGAAACATCAGGAATCAACTCTTCCAGAACATGGCCATATAGCCTGAAAAACCCACAAAAAATCTATCATGGCGTTTTCTTGGAAAGTTTTCTTCAGAGGGTGTTTGCCATGGCCATCCTTTGAGGATGTGTGTGTGTGACTTGTCCAAGGTCACCCTGTGGTTTTCCATTTAAGGCCAAACTGGGATTTAAACCATGCTCTCCAGAGTCCAATGTTCAAACCACTACACCAGGCGTAGGCAACCTTTCCCCTTTAAGGACCGAGGGACTTCAGCTCCCAGAATCCCAGGAGCTATTGGCCAACATGGGACTATTGGCAACGTGGCTGAGGCTTCTGGGAGCTGAAGTCCCTCGGCCCTTAAAGGGGAAAGGTTGCCTATCCCTGCACTACACCATGCTGTTGTGTGCCTTTAAGTTGGTTCTAACTTATGGTGACCCGTTTATGATGGGGTTTTCTTGGCAAGATTTCCATAAATTAAAAAACAACAGTAATGGCGCGAAGCCGAGGGAGGAGGAAGTGTCAGAGAGGGAAGAGATGTGAACAGCAAACACATGCAGAAACACACATGCATCCTCATACAAAAGAGTTTGTAACGTTTGTCCAGAAAGCCGGGAATTGGGGATGGGGGAGAGAAAAGAGAGAGAGGGAGATGTGAGCATGCAATTTTATTCCTATAGGAAAAATGGCTCATTGGAAAAAACAATGATGCTAGGAAAGGTGGAAGGATGCAGAAAGAAAGACCGCATATGAAATGGATAGAATCAGGGCCTTTACAGACAGTGCTAGGGAATCATGGGAACTGTAATTTATTGTGGCACCAGAGCTCTCTGACAGAGAAGGCTCAATGTCTCAGAAAAAAACAATTCCCATGATTCCCTTCCCTAGCACTGAGCCAGGGCAGTTAAAGTGATCTCAAGTTGGATTATTTCTGGCACTCTGCAAAGGCCCTCAGTTAAGGAGGTCATAAGTATGAATTTAAAGGACTTTAGCAGAGAGGTAGAGGATATTTATTTCTTGTACTGATTTCAAAAGCCCAATGGGATTCAAGGTGAGATGCCAGGGGTCTTGGAGGTGCCTCCTCCTCAGGGGCTGCATCCACACCAAAGGAATAATCCATGTAGCTCAATGGTATGGAATTTGGGATCTGTAGTTGGTTGTGGCACCAGAGCCCTCTGACAGATGTGCCCCAAAACTACAATTTCCAAGACTCCATAGCACTGAGCCATCATGACATCTCATCTCACCTCACCCGGGTGGCCATGAGTTGAGGCCGCATGAGGTTGTAATAGAGGACATATCCTGGCAAAGGAGGACCTCTGAATGTGGGACCTTCAGGAAACATGTGGAAGAAATGACCAAAGACCAAATGCTAAACACGCGTAACATAAAAGCATGTCTCTCAAGTCATACTCCAAATGGAGGATGTTTTGGAAATCCTCCTGGACTGAAATGAAAGCGCCGCCTCCAGCTTTTTAGAGAGAAGTATGTGTGAAACCTTTCCTTACCTTGGTATCTCTCCAAAGAAAAGAACACAGAAAGGATGTACACCTTACATGAACTTTGAAGGGATTTTGGTGGTGGTGTGTTTTGAAGCATGGGAGGGACGGAGGGACGGAGGGGTGGTGGTGGTATAGGACACGTCCTGGAAAAGGAGGACGCCTGGTCACCCTGATTCTGCAGCCTTTGTAGACTGGTCCTGAATGGTGAAAGGGAGCTAAGGGAGTGCCTTCTCAGAGGGGGTTATAGGACACTGCGGGAGGTGAAGCTGGCTTGGGGCTAATCTGCACAAATAATGCAGCTTGACACCACTTTAGCTGGCAGGGAACCTGGGATTTGTAGTTTGTTGCGGCACCAGAGCTCCCTGACAAAGGGCCTTTGCAGACTGCCAGAAATAGTGCACATTAAATTGAGGCAGTGCCCTGGCTCAGTGCTAGGGAATCATGGGAATTGTATTTTTTTTTCTGAGACAGACATTGAGCCTTCTCTGTCAGAGAGCTCTGGTGCCACAATAACTTACAGTTCCCATGATTCCCTAGCACTGAGCCAGGGCAGTGCCTCAATTTAATGTGCACTATTTCTGGCAGTCTGCTTAGGCCCAAAGTATCTTGTTGCGTTTCCTACTTATGGTGACCCTAAAGCCTATCATGGGTTTCTTCAGAGGGTGCTTGCCACTGCCATCCTCTGAGGCTGAGAGAGTGTGGCTTGTGCAAGTCCTCCCAGTGGGTTTATATGGCCGAGCCAGGAACCCCAC